CAGATTCTTCCTTCATAAACTAGTGTGGATATGGGTTTGGGTTAGTATATAAATGAAGAAAAGAACCATACACGTACAACCCATGCTCTTCAGCTATTTTATAAGAGAATATTTCCAGATGGTAAATCGCTTTTGAGTCAAAACTATATCTCTCATATAATCCTTAACGAGCTGTGAAAACCATTAAAAAAAAGCTTTTGTTTGTTACTAATTTGTTCCGACTGAGATATCGACCTTCTTACGCTTTGGTTTTGGGACATTGCCGTGGTCTCCCTCACTAACTTCAAAAACAATGAACTTCGAATTTCGACTTGAAATTTTGCACATGAAAAAGTCACAATGAGAATAGCTTATAGAGGAAATTTCAGATCTTTTGGTTTCTCTTTACCTGAAATATGGGCATGTGAAAAACTAGGTGAACTCAATACCATCCAATACAATTTCAAAAAAGTAAATTTTCTTTTACAGACACATTCAAATGAGTTAAAATTTTGGATTTCGAGGTTACTCAACGTAGGTTTGGGTGTGGGTGTGGGTGTGGGTGTAGGTGTGAGTGTCGTCAAGGAAAAGACCGATATTCCGCACCCGTACCTATACTCACACCCACAGTCACAGCCACAGCCACACACCCACACACACCCCCACACTGAAAAAAAAATTGGTACAATACCGAACCAAAAAGAGTACTGTAGATGGAAAAAAGATTTCGTACATAGTACGGAACCTAAAAAGGTTTCGAATTCGTTGTAATTATCCGAACCATTTTAAGTTCGGTACAGACCACTTCGAAAAACTTGAAAAAGTATCCTGAGCCAATAACAATCAATTTCAGGCACCTGAAGTTTTGCACGAAACCTTTTCAGAGTTCGTACTGCCTTCTAAAGTGGTTCGGTACACTGGAAAAAATTGTATGATTACTGAATCATTTTAGAAGGGTGTGGGTTTGGGTGGATGTGGGTGTGGCCCACACCTACACCCACCCACACCTCAGGAGTCGAGTACACCCCACACCCACATCCACCCACACCCACAAACCCACACCCACACACACCCATCCACACCCCACACATCCACATCTACATCCACACTCACACACCCATACCACACACACACCCACACCCATCCACACCTACATCCACACCCCGAACCCCACACCCACAACCACCCACCCTTCGAGTCCCGTGAAGAGTCAACTTCTTCTTCGCTTTGTGGTCGTTCCAACTCGCTGGATTGTCCTATTTGATTCATAAGAGCCATGAATCATAACAATTCCTTTACTGTTTTTATTTCATGTTTACTAATCTACACTCTTGTGGTTACCTTGTATTTATTAAGATTTGATAACAAATTATTTGGAAGAAAACTAATAATCATTTCCACGTTTACTTCTCATATTGGAATAATTTTTCGTTTATAAAATAGTTTATTGACATATAAGAAATGCAATTCACGTTCATTGAAATAGTATGCAGCAACATGTTAAGCTTTATTTTATGCTCATGAAATATTATGAGAATAATTCTAATAGGAATAAATTGAAAATTAGTTAAATATGTCAAAAGGGGTATGGGTCTGAGTTGAGTCAATAACTGTACACACACCCACCAACATCCCACATCCACACCCACCCGCACCCCACATCCACACCCACCCACATCCACAACCCACACCCACCCACACCCTCACACCCACACACTCACCCACACCCCACACCCACCCACACCCACACCCCACACCCACACCCTCACACCCTCAGCTGCTTCGGTATGTCAAGATCACATAATTTACTTTTGATGTCAATCGTGATCAGTTGGCAGAGATTTTTCATAGATGGAGAATGCCATTTGAAAGTGCATAATGGCTCTCACTTCATCTTTTTTCTTAAAGTAAAATTCAGCCATTGATCGATGTCCAAGAGCTAGATCTGGATGATCCTTCGGTAGTATGTTTGTCCATATTTGTAATGCTTTGTCGAACATATTGGCAGCTTCATCATCATTGCCAAGCTCAATATGAGTTAGTGCAATGAGATATTTACATTTGGCAATATCTCGATGATCACCATTATGCGCAAAGAGATGTTCGTACATGTCATGCGCACGTTTGAACCAATAAAGAGCATTGATTACATCACCACGTGCTAATTGGGTTTCACCCATATTCTTGAATGTGTAAGCCAAATCAATGTGATCGGATGTTGATGAGAAAAGCTTGATCACATAAAATGCTTTCTCGTAGTACATATCTGCCTCATCTAGTTTATTAAGACGATAGAGTGCTTTACCAATGTTGTTATATATGATTGCATGAGTACGAGAATTATAGTTTTCCCCTTGCTTGTAGATATCGGCTGCTCGAAGAAATCGCTCAAGAGCTTGTTCATACTTGCCTTGTTTGTAATATTGTTTTCCAATGTGATTTTCGATGGCAACAATATTTGGATGATCGTTGGGAAGAAGTTTTTGATTGATGGTCAAGCACGCTAACATAAAACTAAGCGATTCTTTATAGTCTCCTCTGTGGTAGTAAGCAAATGCGAGATAAGCAAGGCAACTGATAACCTCAGGATGATCAAATGCATAGATATTTTTTATAATTGAATACGCACGTTGAAAATATTCTAAACTTGCATCGTTATTACTTTGGCCGTGGTAAACTCTTCCAATATCGATTAAGACTTGGGCAATACCTAATTGATTATCATCTTCACCAGCTCGTCGATAAAGTCCTATGGCTTCATTCCCAAACGACAGGGCTTCCCTGTAATTACTGCAATCTTCATGCACTCTACACATATAACGACATATTGTAGCTGCTAATGTCAATCGTTTATCATTGTCTTTCATACATAGATCATAAGCTGTCCTGAAATATGACATGGCCTGGTCTGATTCACAGAAATTATAATGTGATCGACCAATACCAAACAGAATATAAGGATCATTTGGACGACGTTCTGCCACATTCTGAAAATATGTACGAGATTTGAGCCATTCTCCCATTTCAAATAATAAATCACCAAAGGTACTTTCAATATCATTCGATCCATTCAATTCGATCTGTTTTAAATCAATATATTCTTTGGCAATAGCGCGGCCTTCATCAGTTGTTATTATTCGACACTGCCAATAGTTCTGTTGTTCATTATACTTCATGGATTGAATTTTGAAAACTGTACCAATATCAAACAAAACTTCGTCTTCATCTCTAAATCTACTAAGATGTCTTACATCTGCAACAATTGTCGTCAGATATTCTTCCAGAACTACTTCTATATCAAAAACAACAGAGCCGAGATCGGAAGATATGTTAGTTGATCCAATGCCTGCATATGCTTCTGACACATTCAGTTGTCTGCTGGTTGAAAAATAAGCATTCACTGAAATAAGATGACCAACACTTTCACGAAGTCGTTCAATTTCTTTCTGAGGCATCCTCACTCCTCGGTAGACATGCATATTTGACGCAGAATCATATAATTCTTTACTCTGTTCAGCCAAACATGTACACAGATCAACAATATAGAATCGATATGTATACAAGGCATTAATATCTTCAGTTCGCAAAGCTTTGTTGATAAGTCTGTAAATAAATGAATTTTCGGTATACCATTTAATAGCTTGATCTGATGTGTATTCAAGCTCAAATTTATCAATATCTTCCATTGCTTTCTTATTTCCTCGATAATATAAACGACATGTGTCCAGCATTTCTCGTTTACTTGTTTTCGTAGCCTCTTCACTTGATGACATTTTGTGAAGAACTTGTTTAACAAGTTGAAGAAAAATAAACGAACCAGATTCTCGACTTAAATTTCGTGTTGATTTTTGTTTGTTGGTATTATAAAGAGCGAATATTGCTGATTGTTTGTCAACAAGTTCTATGGAATGCGTAATACTTGATGCTAAAGCTGCTCGTTCATTAAAAACGCCCATCAATTTGTGATAATTTTTATTATGTAAGAATGGTTCATATATATTCTTACTTTGGCAAAAAATGAAAATAGAATCTACATGTCGCATATCATGTATTTTTTCAAGAAGATTGGATGAAGCAGCTGAACCGGCAACAATGAAAAGTACCGTTTCACTTTTAATTGATTCAATACAAGCAAGACATTCTGATTCGTTAGAAAATAATAAAACATAGTCATTTAACTCACGAAGCATCTGTTCAGTTAGCTGAAAATCATCAGCAAATTGCGATGTTTGTCCTAGCTGATTGTCAAACCAAATTAAACTAATTTGTTCACAATTATTTATTCTTCTTATCGATGAATATTGGACACAATCGAAAGTTTCTTCCTTATGTCTTTCCAATATAGGTTTTTCTTCAATCGCAGTATTGATAGTATTGCAGCCGTTAGTCATATTGCTACGTGAATGCTGATATTTCTTTCTGTTTATATAATTAGTTATTTTTCCAACTACTCGTATTTTATAAACAATTATTCCCGAGTTGGATTTTTCCTTCTTTCAATGACACAACGGAAGTGTATTTAGTTGATTATTAGTAATAGAAAGTAGTATACTCAATTAATTTTCTTTATGATTGAAGGACTAAAATGTATATAAAGAAGAAAAAACACTAAAAATAAGCGCACATGCGAAAAAAAAGTTTGTCCTTCGCTTTCAAAAGAATATTCCAACATTAGATGCTAATAATAGCGCCCAACACGTTGCTTTTATGCATCACTGCGGATGATTTCACAAGAGTTGCCTAATTCGAGTTTGAATATAAATGAAGTTTCAGTTGCATACGATGACTTGGAAAATAAATGAAAAAAAAGTCACGCCAGTACTGGCGTATAGCAAAAGAAAAAATTTTTTTACTGATAAATTATAATTCAAATTTTATGTTATATTCTCTATTTATCTGAACCGAGAGTATTTTTCTAATGATAAACCACAATAAAACTTCCTCAAAATAATTCAATGAAAAAGTACGAGAAGAAGATGGGTGTGTGGGTGGGGGTGGGTAAGTGTTCAGCATAAAAAGAACACCCACAGCCACACTCCACACCAACACTCACCCCCACACCGTTCAAATGTGATTTACCATACACAATCAAAAATTTATATTATTTGTGACAATAAAAATCACCGAGTGTTACGATGGTCTCGTAGCAGTAACGTATTTGCTGAGGAAATCATTATGAACAAAGAATGTTTTGGATTGGCTATAGATGATGAAGGATCTCTTTACGTTTCTGATACTGAACGACATGAAGTGAGAAAATATCGTGCAGGTGAGCGGTATGGAACAGTAGTAGCAGGTGACCATGGACAAGGTAGTCGTTTTGAAGCAACTCAATCATTCGACATATATTTTCGTCGTATCAGATGAAGCTGTGTATGTGTCGGACTCGTGGAATGATCGTGTAGTAAGATGGGACAAAGGGGTGAAAGAAGGTGTTATTGTAGTCGGTGGTCAGGGTAAAGAAAAAGATGAAACACAGTTGCATCATCCTGCAGGACTGATTGTCGATCGAAGGGGTACGATCTATGTCGCCGATCATTATAATTATCGAGTGATGCGCTAGTACAAGGATGCTTCACATGAAAACATCATTGCTGGCAATAGATTTCTTTCAGAAAACTGCAGATCAATTAAATGGCCCAGAAGGTTTGGCGTTTGATCGATATGGCAATCTCTATGTATCCGATTCGAATAATTATAGAGTTCAATGTTTTAAGTTTTGAACTGTTTAATTTTTTTGTTTTTCTTAATATTGAATACCATTAAAGACAAAAGAAAACTTATGCTGATCGATCAAGAGATTGGTATCAATTAATAATTTCGTCCTAAAATGTCCAAAAGAATTAATATCGGCATATTCAGTTTTTCAATGGTAACATATCTATTAATATCACTCCAAGAAAACAAGACATAATATTATAAATAGGAAATATATAAGAAGGGCTTTGCTCTGATCACTCCGAGTTGAGGAGGTGGATGTGGATGTGCCCATTCTGTTGAACATCCACACCCACATCCTTTAATTTCGAAGTACATAATTTCACCAGAGTATAATGATTGATTTATTCGAAGATGAATAAATGATCTGCTTCTTTGTTAATTCAATAGATATTTGAGATATAAGTAAAATATAAAACATTGATATCATAATAGGGTCATTCAGAATTTCGAATCGATAAAAATATGATATTTTAGATCCATGGATTATAGAAAGCTGTTACAATTTATATTTATTTGACTAGAGAACCTATCAAGATATAATAACTTGATTTGAAATGTAGAAAATTTCTCAGAAATGTAATATTTCAATTCAACATAGAGATTTAGGATTATAATTGATTAGAGAAATCTATGATATGAATACTAAGAGCATGATTACGTTCTAAAATAGAAAACTTCATATAAAAATTATAATTGTTTTGTTTAGTAAAATCTTTAAAAGAATGGCACATACTTGAACTTATCGTCGAATATTATCCGACGAAACGATTTCGATATTAATACATATCAATACAAGATAATAAATGAACTTGATCAATTAGTAATGCAAATATTATATATTACCGAACTTTTTATCTACAGATGTCAATAATAAGAAGTGTTTCTGGCATTGATAGGTTTAACGAGACGAACTGTTTTTTTAAACAGAATACCAATATATAACACTGAAATCTAAGTATAGCACTAGATTTTTTCATGCTGTGTGCTTAAAAAGCTTGAATCTCCAGCAGAATGCCAGAAGAGTGTGAAGTGCGAGAGACAAGGCTGCTAAAACCCACACCCAAACTCTAATTGTTAAGACGTTTTGGCTGAATATATCAATTAGACACAAAATCGTTTGAATTATCAAACATTAATCATCATATTTATATATTTTCTTTTTATTGCTTTAGCGAAATCTTATAAAATACACGAGTTAACGAATGGAAAAGGATGTATTCTCAACAGATATTTCTCAGTTAAGAAAGAGAAATTCATGAGAAGATTTATTTAAAGAATGTCTGTCAAACACATAGAGGTCATGAGGATTTAATAGACTTGATCATTGAAGAAAAGAGTTTTTCAGGAAGAAAGCGACAGAAAAAAATTTCCTATAGTGATGAGCTTTCAAAATAAACTCTCTTGTTGTGATCAATATGAAAACCTTTGTTACATGCAGAATGTATATATCTTTGTATTATTTGATAAACAAGCACTTAATTTAGAGCCAAATATCAAATTTCTTGATACCATTCAGATACTAATTCACTTAAATAATAAATGGTATCAATGAACTTTTTGAGCTGACAACAATACAATATGAAATGAATAAGTAATGAAAAACGAATGAATATGAGTTGAAGGAGTGCTTTGAAAATTCAAACAAAGTATAAACCTTTTTGAAAATATCGCAAAGACATGCGACATGTTTAAATTTCATGAAGCTCTGAAATATATGAAAAAAGTTTTTCAATTCATATACATCCTTGTCAAAAGATTCAATTTCGTTTTAGTCCTTGGAAACTTTTCCAAACTTCTGCAACATATCTTTGCTTTTCAGAATAGCTTTGAAGTTGTTAAATAAAACCATGCAGCACCACATATAGCTTTTATACGATGGAATATGATTATTATGAAATAAGTTCATACAGACAGATTGCATGATCTAGGAATCAGAATTATTTTTTATGATTCTTCTACAGATATACATTTGAGTAAGACATGCCTAACCTAAACAAAGTTACTCAAATTATCTGCCGTTTTCATATTCTTTTATATTAACGTAAAAATGAATTTTCTGTTTTGAAAAGAATCTTGAATAAAAAGTATGAAGACAAAAAAACGTTTGAAGAGTCTAACGTGTGTACTTTTCATATATTGATAAAAGTTTATTTTTAAATCTAAAGTCAGGTTAAGTTTTATACAACGATATTCAAGATTAATAGAGAAACATTTTCTAAAAAGTTTAATTTATGAAATTTTTCCAACCATTTCTCGGCTAAGTAAATCAGCTTGTCGTATTGGTTCACAATTACGATATTTTGTTGCTGATTTGAATATATTACAAGCTGTTGTCAATGTTATTTTATGTCCAACACTAATATAAACAGCATTTTTTACAGAACCAGTTACATTATAAGCTAAGCCAAGAACATTTCCACTATCACCTATAACTTCAATATATTGATTTTCTTCGGATGCTTTTTTAGTTAGTAAATCTTCAATTTTTTCTCGTGTAATACCATCAGCATAAAGAACATTTTTTGATACACCAAAACATGGAATTCCACTTAAAACACCAAAATGTGAAGCAATACCAGCACGACGTGGATGCCAAACACCATTACCATCCATTAAAATAACTTGTGGTGTTAAATGAGGACAATTTTCTTTTTGAATATCAATTAATTTCATAAAAACTGGAGCTTCACGAAATGCTAAATAACTAGCTATATATGGAATTTTCATATTACAATTAACACTTATTTTAGCTACGATATTTAATGTTTCATATTCTAAAATAACCATTGATGCGACTGCTTTATCATTGTTTTTAACAAAACTTATATCTAAACCAGCTATGTATTTTATTGGTTGTTGGATTTGATCAATATCAGTAATAATTGATGAAACAATATTTTGTTGTTCTCTAAAGTATTTTTAAAAAATCATCGGAAATTATTAGTGATCTGGCAGAAACAAACATAGAACTCACAAATATGCTTCTAACTAACGAGGTCACTATTTCAATAGAATTTATATTAGTTTGTTAAGTTCAATGAACTGATGACGATTACATGCTATGTTCTTTAACGTAGATTGCCATACAAAATTTAGAGCGATCTTAACTTCTGAAAATTGATCTTAAACAATAATTTCAGCAATGTTTAATGTTTATGTTAGTCTAATTGTAAATATGGAAAACTCGAACTATAGATGTTGATGGCGGCGGTAGATTCCCAGCCGCGATGGACATCTGTGACCTGAACATTCAATGAATTTTAATTGACTGTTCTATAATATCATGAGTAAATCTGGATGTATGGAAGCGATCATAATTAACTTTTACAATACTGAAAACTAAATAAATATCATATATCTCTTTTTCCAAGGAGGTAAAGTAAGCTGATGCTTTCTTCACGGTTCACAGAGGTATTAGCTCACAACTCTCTGTCAAGTATAAGATAATAACTATCTCAATTCCGAACTACAAATTGACTCAAAATTAATTGACAGTAATGACTCACACTTTAGTACGTTCTTCTCGTAAACTGATATTTCAACTCAATTAGGAATGTTAAATCTGATATAGTCTTTTGTCTCGATGATAATTTATAAATAGGAAAGATTTTCAGCTTTGTAATACAGGGTGTCCCATAAGTAACAAGACAAGGAAAAAAAGTTTGAATATCCCCATTAGGGCTCGACCAAATGGGCTCAATTTTTTATCAAGGATAGAG